TTCATGCCTTGGGGTCATTTATCTTCCTCCGGAGAAATGTCTGTTGGGAACCAACCCTGGCCATTGATTGGCTAGTAGCCACACCTGTGGTGCTGAGGGCTTACATCCGGCACTGTGCTCAGGGCTCAGTCCTGGCGGGACTCGTGGGACCATGCAGGTGCGGGTCCCAGGAGAGAGCCAAGGGCCACTGTTCCCTCTCTTCGAGCCCCTCCCCCACCCTTTTTCAACTGTTACCGCTTTCACTTTCCTGTTCTAAGAGTTCTTCACCTGTCGTTTGCGTGTCTTTGGCAGATGTTTCCCCCCACCTGTGGGGTTTCCCCTTCTCTGAGGTGTCAGGCTTCCCTGGCCCCGGCCTCTCTGCTGGGCAACTCTGCTCTCCAGGGACTGGGCAGCGGGCCTGTCCTGCCCACTGCCCAGCTCCGTCACCACCATCTCACACACACATACACACATACTCATACACATACGCGCATACATACACACACTCTTGTACACATACACACACAGACATACACACTCATAGACTTACTCGTACACATACACACACTATGCACACTCACACATACAGATATTCATAGCTGTACTTGTACACATACTCGTACACATACACATACACACATAGACACACAGATACTCATACACATGCACACTCACACACATACACACACACTCACACACACACTCGTGCACATACACATAGACACACAGACACACTCATACTCATAAACATATATACACTCACACACATAGAAACACAGACTCACACTCTTGTACACATACACGTACACTCATGCTCATAATAAGCATATGCACACTCATGCACTTGTACACATGCACATCCACACAGACACACTCATAAACATGTACACTCACACACTCAAACACATACACACAGGTAGACACACAAGCTCATACTCATAAACATACACACTCTCACACATACACACATCCACACATACATATTCACACTTATACACATACATACATTCATACACACACTCTTAGACTCTTACACACTCACTCATAAACATGCACACTCACACACATCCATGCTCCCACATATTCACACTCACACTCACACACACTCATACACACACTCATACACACACTCATGCACACACACACACACACACACACACACAGTGTTCCCTCTTCCGTGTCTCTCAGCAGGTCCTCGCCCTCCTGGCCTGCCCCTCTGGCCTGTGGTGGTTCCAGCTGGGGGTTAGGAGACTGCAGTGGGCTGTGTCCGCACCCTTGGGAGGGGGTGAGGCAGGCAGAGGGCAGGCGGCCCCCGAGGCCAGGCCTCCCCTGTGCGGCGGGTGCTTTGCAGGCTTCCAGCCATCCTAGTGTTGGACAGAAGCACGTGAGGGGCTCGGCACAGACGTGGAACTGGGAGGTGGAGATGGAGGGGGGGCACATCTGATCGATCCCTGAGCGACGAGCTAATGACGCGCCAGCTCATGCTGCGTCCCTGCCCGAGAGGGCTCGGCTCGCCTCACGGCGTCATCTGCGTCTGTGTTTCTGCGTCTGCGTTTCTCTGTCTGCGTTTCTCTGCTCCGACACACATAGCCTGGGCCTCTGAGACGTTTGAAACGGCGCATATCCGTTTCTCTTTCCACCATGGGGCTTAGATGTGGATTGCAAGCTGTACTAGGGGGAAAACAATCTCAAATGCGTCAGACCCTTCATTTCACGGAAATACTCCATGAAGATGAGGCCAACTGGGGGCTCTACTGATACTGCCACAAAAAGAAAGGGGGAGGGGGCTGCTGTGCATGAATGAGTCTGGGAGTGTGTGTTGGGGTGGGGGGATGCGTGTGGGGGGAGCCGGGGCGGGGAGGCTCGCAAGGGGGGCTTGGCCACCAGAGTGCTGAACTGTGAGCTCCTCCTCTCGGCTGGTGCCGCTGTGGGGGCACAGGACCCCCATCCATCCCGTGCTCCGTGGGCAACCCCGGCTATGCCAGCATCTGTGCGAGATGTGAGCACGGCCATTTTACAGATGAGGAGGGAAATGCAAAGTCATTGGCTCATCTAGGAGCGGAACTTGGCAGTGCCTCAGTGGGACTCCCTAGAGGAATCCAGTTACAGCCCTTGCATGGGGTGCGAGGTGGCGTCGATGGGAGGGGGGGGGGCTGAGGTGCCCCCATCCCTCACCAAGCATCATTTTCTCTAGAGCTGGGGACCCACCCCGGGCTTTCTGCAGGAGCAGGGGTGGAGCACCGAGAGGCTGCCTCTCCCGCCTGCAGAGGCAGGGATGGACATTCAGAGGGGCCCCTGGGGCACCAGCTCTGCACCTGAGGTCTGCTCCCAGACCACCTCAGGCACAGGGCCTGAGCGGCTCCTCAGCGCGGCCAGGCAGGACCCTCGTAACAAACTTAGCACACAGAATTTGCAAAAGCAGCGAGAGGGTTAGTTACGGTGTCTGTGAACTTTCCCCTCCCGAGTCTCTGGTTGCTTTGGTTCTGGCCTTGCTGGCCCTCGCGCTTGCGGTGGGCTCCATACTCACCCCTAGGGCAAGCCCGCGTGTGTCCGCCTGCCGCTCGGTGGGTGGATGTGAGCAGCCCTGCTTCCAGGGCATGGTGGGTCATGCTTCCTCAGCTCTTGGGGAAGAGCTGGGGTGGGCGGGCACCTTGGTCACCTGCTGCGATGAGGAAACATCTCACCTGCCTTCGCAGGGGCCATGTGACTGCATAAACCTCCACGACCAATATCAAGAGCTCCCGCCCGGCCCCCTTCCCACCTGGTCCCATTCCCATCGGCACTCGGAGCTCAGACCTTTCTGGTTTGTTTTGGGTTGTGTGTCAGCAGGTGACAGTGAGGGTCGGGGGCGGCGTCATACCCAGTGATGCTCAAGATTAGAAATCACTCCTGGTGGTGCTCAGGGGACTGACCATATGGGATACCAAAGATCAAACCTGGGCTAACTGCGTCCAAGGCAAATGCCCTACCCGCTGTCCTATCACTCTCACCCAAAAACCTTTCCAGTCTAGCTATTTGGGTTTTATCTCTTGGTAATCCTGTAGGATTTTAATTTGCATGTTTCTGGCTAATGATATTCAGTCCCTTTTCATGTGGTTGTTTTTCTTGGTGGGGGGGAGGCAAGGATTGGGATTGGGGGGCATTCCTATGTCTTCCTGTGTAAAGTCTCTGTTCACATCTTTTATTCGTCCCTTTTAATGGGTGCGTTGATGAGTGGGAAACTTTTTTAAAAACATATCCTAGATACAGTGTCTTTGTCATACAAAGAGAGAAATGACAGAGTGAAGATGTATAGTGTCTTCCCCCTGTGTATGATCTGCTTTCCCATGATCCTGTAAGGTAGATTAATCCATGAATGTTGATTGGTTGACTCTCTAGCCCATATTTCCCCCTTGAGTGTTGGGGACCCATTTCTAATTCTATTTAGTTATAAGACTCTCTCTCTCTCTCTCTCTCTCTCTCTCTCTCTCTCTCTCTCTCTCTCTCTCTGTGTGTGTGTGTGTGTGTGTTGGGGTTAACAGCAGCGATCAAACCCAGGTCTATGCCTCTGGGCCCCATCCCTGGTCCCCAATCCTTTTATCTTTTTGTTTTATGCTTTTGCAGGTAGAGAGGGAAGTTGACGTTCTTAGAGGCTGACGCTGAGCATTCTGGGATCGGGGCTGGGTTCGTGATGCTGTTGTTGGCAGGCCCTGCTCTCTGCCCTCTGACCTTGCCACTCTTTTTGTAAAAGGGGTGACAACCTCCCAAGCCTGCCCCATGGGCTGCTGTGAAGATTACATGAGAATGGTGTGTGTGTGTGGTCACACCCAGTAGTGTTTGGGGGCTATCCGCATGCTGTTTTGGGGACAGCATGATGCCAGGATGATGCCAGGGATGGAACCCGGGGCACCCACAGGCAATGCAGGTACACCAGCCCTAGGACTGTCTTAAAGCTCCCACTGAGTGCACCCCAGGGTGAGCCGGTTAGGCAGCCCCAGAACCAGGCCTGCACGAACTCGGCCAGCCTCCTCACACCTTCCTCCCTCCTACTTCGAACCCTGTGCTTCCTCTCCGTCATTCAGACCCTGGGCCGTCTGCTGCCCCTCCCAAGTCATGTCCCTGCTCCAGAAAGGCCCTTGGACCACCCTTTCCCCCCTCCCTCCACCTGCCTGGCCCGTAGGCCCCTCATAGTTCTCAGAACATCCCCTGCCCGCCTCCCACCTCTGTATCCCCCACTGCCAACCCCACTTTTCGCCGAAGTTCCCTTCTGAATCAGAAGCCCCCAGGTGGGAGTCTGGAGAGACACCACGTGGCCACCAGCCGCTTCTGTGGGCAAAAATCACAACCTCTGTTCCAAGCATGCTGGCCTCTCATGGCCTGCCGGAGCCCAGCCGGACCTTGGCCGCCCCGGCCGAGCTGGGCCCTGCCCAGCCTGGCCCTGCCCAGCCTTTGGCGGGGCCCCTCTCCTTTGATGCGTGATCAGAAAATTCAATTATAAACCCAATTACTGCTTTCCTGCGCCTTACAAGGGAGACATGAAAGTTTGATTAAGTTTGAATTTCTGCCTGGCCAGGCGCCAGCCACATGGGCTTGTTGGGGATTTTGGTTGTTGATTCTGTTCTTTCTTTTGTGGCTGCAGCCTAGGGGTGGGGGGCCTACTGTTTTTCTATGGGGAGGGGGCCTCCACTCCCTCACACACTCCCAGTTGCTGAATGGTTCCTCTCCGGTTGGGATGCATGAGATGTAAATCCCCCAAAGCCCCGTTGCCAAGGTGACGGGCTCAGAATGGAGCTGGACCCGGCCAAGTCCTCCAGCTTTGAAGGAAGCGGCTTGTTTCCCAGGCGGAGTGGGCTTCCAGGGGCCCTCCACAAGGGCACCCCTTGAATGGGGGCACAGAAGTGGCTCCCAGCTCCCTTTGGAGATGCCTCAGCAGTGCGGCTGCCCCCCACAACTCCCCCCGCCCCCCACTGTTTCCGGCCCTTGTCCCAGGGACACACAGAGGCTAAAGCCCCAAGCACAGGGGCCCAGACTAAAGCCTGGGTGGTCAGTGGCCGCTTCCCCAAACCCTCAGGGCTGCCTGACCTCAAGACCCTGGGGCCTCCAGTGGACAGAAGAGGCCCAAGCAAGTCTGTGGCGTACGCACGGCAGCTGTTCTTCCTCAGTTGCCCCCATAGCACGGCCACCGAGACGCTGACAGTCACCTCTACACTCCTGGAGTTGTGTGATGCTCTGTTACTCCGAGCTTTTGTGTTTGGGGGCCACAGGGCTTACTCCTGGCTTTGTGCTCTGAGACCACTCCTGGTGGTGCTCAGACTACCATCTGGGGTGTCGGGAATCGAACCTGGGTCATCACATGCTAAAAGCCCCACCCTCTGCTCCAGTCCCCATGAACTTTCTTTTTTAGAGTAATAAATTTGATTTCTTAGCACAGAGGGGAGGGTGTTGGCCTTGTATGCAGCCGACCTGGGTTTGATCCCCAGCATCCCATATGGTACCCCAAGCACCACCAGGAGTGACTCCTGAGCACAGAGCCAGGAGTGATCCCTGAGCATTGCAGGGTGTGCCCAGAAACTTGAAAAAAAAAAAAAAACCCTCGATTTCTCTTCTTTTTTTTTTTTTTAGACCAAAAAAAGGCCCTGGGACAAGGGGCAGGGGTGGATCTTTGTCTTCAGCCTCAGGCCAGAGGTGTGGGCTGCAGAGAAGAGCTGGTTCCAGACACCCTGTTCTGGGGCTGACCCCAGGCAGGCTTTCTGCAAGCTGGGAGGTGACAGGGCCGTGGTGTGTGTGTTCCTCATGCCAGAAACCACCTCCCATCCTTGAGAGAGAGGGCCCTTCAGGAGCCCCTGCAGGTGGAACACCGGCCCTGGGAGGACGGTGACCTGTGTCCTGGGTGTGGCCAGTTCCACACCAGCCTCCCTCCTCAACCAGGGGCAGCCCAGAGCAGGGAATAGGACAGGGGGCCGGGCCTTGCCCCTTGCCAATTCCTGGCACTGCATATAGTCCCCCAAGTACCACCAGGAGCACAGAGCTAGGAGTAGCCGCCGAGCACTGCCATATGTAGCTCCCAAGCCTCGCCCACCCTAAAAAAATTACAAACTCCAAACCAGGGCAGACCCCAGCAAGACCCCTCACATCTCTTGGCCCTGCGCCCCACCTCAGAGCGGCTCGTCTCAATCTGCAGTGGCGAGAGGCCAAGTGTCTTGCTCTGCGTCCCCCTTCAGAGTGGGCAGTTGGCTGGGGCTGGGCCACGGGACCCTGAGAACTGGCCAGCATGGACACAGCTCAACAACTTCCTGTCCTTGGCCTGCTGGTGGGTATCTTTGTTTTCACTGGGTGAGAGTTTTTCATCAGGTTTGAATATATCCCTCCCTCCCTCCCTCCCTCCCTCCCTCCCTCCCTCCCTCCCTCCTTCCTTCCTTCCTTCCTTCCTTCCTTCCTTCCTTTTCTCCCTTTCTTTTCTGTAAATAAAATTGTTTCCACTTCCTTGGAGCTGAAACTGGGGGATTCTGGGTTGGTTGGTCAAGCCTCGGCCAAAGCGACTAGCAGGCAGTGCCTGAGGAAGCACTGATGCCCCCCCTGACCCCCCTATAAATGTGGGGTTCTACTGAATTGAGGAAGAGAGAGCAAGGAAACAAGCAGCCGCAGAGGACCCCCTCACTGGGACTGGATGCTTAGAGGCTGGACCCCATGGGGGAGCATGACCTTGGGTCAGTGCAGACCAGACCGGAGGAGATGTGGGAGGAAGAGCGAGCTTCGTGGTTTCTAGACTTCTTTGGGAAGGGGGTCAGTGTCCCAGATGGGGAAGGGCTCTTGAACCGGGGGCCAGGGGCTCCTGTCCACCCTCCCAACACACACCACACACACACACACACACACACACACACACACACACACACACAGCCCCTTCTGTGCTCCTGAGCTACACCCCTTCCGGCCCTGCCCCTTACAGGTGGCCACTTGCAGGTCAGGCCAGTGCCAACCAAGGAAGTGTCTCGGACCAGGGACCCTGAGGGGTGGTCTTTGTTGTCATGATTATTTCCTTAAGATGCCACCACCGCCTCCCCCCACTTCAAAGTAGCCTTTATAGCCCAGGGACTGTAGAAGTTTATTTTAGGGGTGTTTTTGTTTGTTTTAGGGCCACACTTAGGTGTTACTTCTGGCTCTGTGTTCAGGGACCACTCCTAGAAGGGCTCAGAAGACCTTACGGGATGCCTGGGATCCCGGGATCGAACCCCAGTTGACTGCATTCAGAGTGTTAGGGCGCGGAACGAAATCTCCCTTAAACGACAAAGAGACTCCAGAGACTGCAAACAGCAAGGAGGGTTTATTGTAAGACTGGCTAGCCAGGGTCCAACCACCTACACAGGCACGCAGGTCTAGCAGGTTGGGTAAAGACCCCGAGCTTCTCCAAAGGAGGTCTTATATAAGCCTTCACGGATCGTCACAGCAGAGCCCGCGCATCTCATAGCCAATAGATTTGTAATAACAAATACTTTCCTAACCAATCCAATTAAGGGTACATCACTTCTTAGCCTATCGTTTAAAGATCAGCATTTGCTTCAGTGCTTAGGAACGTCCTGGTGTTTTGGGCAGTCCTGGGTCTTGCAACATGGGTCTTGTGAGAGACATCCGGTTATCTGGTCTGACCCCCACCCTTCTTGTGACTTGCAACTTGCAACTCAAGTACCTGTATCTGAATTCCTTGCTCAGGGGCAGAACAACCAGTTATTTTGCAATGCGGATCCCTGTTAGACTAAGTTAAATTAATTCTGGTGGTGGTCCATTTTGGGCCTGACAGGTCACGAGAAGGGTGGGGGTCAGACCAGATAACCAGATGTCTCTCACACAGAGCAAACGCGCTACCTGCTGTACTTCAGCGCCAGCCCTGAAGCTTCCACTTTTCTAAACAACTTTCTTCAGGCACAGGGCCAGGGAGGTAACACAGTGGTCAGGTCAGGTGCTTTGGACACTTCTGACCTGGTTTGATCCCCAGCCCTGTGTAAACACACACAAAGACGGGCAAAAGGACGGCAGCGGCCTATCTCTCCTGCCGCCCCGCATTCGGTAGCCTCAGGCCGTTTCCCCACTCCAGGGAGGTCGATGGTGATGGTCAGGTGAAGGAAGGAAATGAGGGCCAGGCTGGTTGGTCTTGGTAGCAATTTATTACATAGAAGAGATGTATGTCATGGAGTTCCCAGGATCTCTCAAGCACATGCTCCCTGTTCTCTCAGCTTCTATCCCCATTGTCTCAAACCTGTCTCTTCGGTTCTCTCAACCCACAACCCGGTTCTCTCAGGCACCTGTTTCTCAGAGAGTACTGAAAATTTCCTTATATAGATCATGGTACCTCTAAAGGGCGCAATACAGTGATGTCATCAAAAGGAGTTACAGAAAAAACATTGAGGCGCCAAAACATGCATTGTTTCTATACATCCACTGGCCAGTAATCTTGGCCTCCGGAAAGAAGATACGAAACCAAGACTGAAACCTTTTACAAGCACTTTCACAAGCTACAAGCACGTGGATTTGCATCCCAAAGACCAGTCTGCTAGAGCTTGGAATCTACATTCCAAAAACAAGTACCTTAGCTTTGCATCCCAAAGACTAGCCTGCCTAGAGCTGGGAATCTACATCCCAAAGATCAGACCTGGCTAGCTCCTGAGATGACTGAGAGAAAAGGGAAACTGCCTCTTACAATATACTGAAATTATTTACAGAAGGTAGTTGAAGGGGAGAAATGTTCAGTCTCATCCAGGCTAGTCAGGACACACAGGAAAGCTGCTTCTAGGACAGATTCTCATTTGGCAGATCAACCCTCCCTAGAACACAATTCCCTGGGTGTGTTTCTCCTCTCCTTGTCCGACAAACATATAAGCATACATAATGTAAATCATTTTGCACGGACACTGTAAGAAATACTTTAAGCTTATAGAATTGCTCTCCTAGGGCCATCTCAATCTCAGACTGCAGTGCTCAGGCCAGATATCTTTCCTATTCTTAGCAGGGTCCTAGTCTCTTCGTTACTTTTGGATCATGACAGCATTTGCCTATGATCAAACTCTTAATCTATAGTTAAGAATTGTGGCACCTTGGCCTGGCCCATCTCGATGCCAGGGTAGCACGTAACTTACCAGCTTGCCCTGATTTCATCCAGTCCCACGTCGGGGTCTCTGCTCTTGGGGGTGCTAGGAAGTGAGGGCAACTGAGGCTTAAATTGAGAAAGCAGATGCTTGGGAGTGAATATATTCAAAGCCAATTAAATCCTAAATTATAAAGCATAATATTGTCTTCCTGTATATATACAAAAAGAACATTGCATTAAAGTAAACTATTCAGAAGACATTAGGAGAGGAGAAAGGCAATATTAACTTATAGTACAAGTTCAGTGTCCTAGAAGGATGAGACCTTACAAATAAACAGATTCTGATTAAGGGAAAAGCTGATTAACTGGTTGAGGAAGAGAGCATAGAAGTGGTTACAGACAAAGGAATGGGAGTGACTCAGGAGCACTGTGATGGGTGCAACCTGATAAACCTAAGATCCTTGTACTCCAACACAGCCCCACAGTGCCTGGTGGCACCTCACTAGTGTCTCTAGAGAGGCCCCCTCAGCCCCTGGCACTGTGACCTTGGGCCCCAGCACTGAGCACTGGAGCAGGAACAGCCTCCAGGCCATTTGAGCACCGCTCGGGAAAATCCCCGGGCCCCCTGGAAAATAAAATTAAATGAAAGTGAAAGAGAGGCTGGGGGTGTGGTTCAGTAGTCGAGAACTTGCCTGGCACATGTGAGGCCCTGGGTTTGGTCCCCAACCCTGAACATCAGGGTGACATCAGATGTGGCAGAAACTGGGATTGTTTTCTTTTATTTTGGGGAGGTGGGGCACACCAACAGTGCTCAGGGCTTACTCCTGGCCCGGCACTCAGAAATCACTCCCAGCGGTGCTCAGGGCACCCTATGGGATGCCAGGATCCAACCCAGGTCGGCCACTTGCAGGCAAATGCCCTCCCCACTGTACTATCTCTCGGGGCCCCTATGAAATCATGAATTCTCAGCCATCACTAAGAAATCACGGAGAAGTGTTAGAATTCAGAACCGCCGTTCACGAAACGGAACCCGAGGTCACTCAGGAAACTGAGACCCAGAAGGGCTCAGTGCCCTGCCCAGGTCACATAGCCGCCAGGTGGCAGAGCCAGG